CGTTCAACCCCCCCCCCCCCCACACACACACAGATACACCCGGGAAAAAACTGTCTCTTAGGAAAGCTCCTTCCTTCCTTCCTTCCTTCCTTCCTTCCTTCCGACATTTGAAACATCCCTACCATTTCTGCCAGATGTTGTGAACCACGGAGGCCGGGCACCCCTGGACTGCTCCCACCCTGACTGCTGCCACCCACCTACCCACCCCACCGCCGCCCCCGGGCACTCACCATCTTCCTCTGGTTGCTGAGGCAGAAAGTGCAGATCTGCTTGGGCTGGGAGTTCTCGCTTTCCCGCGTGGGCGGGCTGCTGCTGCTGCTGCCGCCGCCGGTGCTGTGGTGGAAGAAGGCCGGGGTGGTGTGGCAGGGCTGCCCGTCGCCACAGGCCTCCCCCACCAGGAGGACGTTGCCCAGGTGCGAGATGTAGCTGGAGGCCAGGCGGAGGGTCTCGATTTTGGAGAGCTTGCGGTCCGCCGGCTCCGTGGGGATGAGCGTCCGTAGGGCAGTGAAGGCCGTGTTGACACTGTTGGTCCGGTCCCGCTCCCGCGCGTTGGCCGTGTGGCGCTGGCGGGGCTCCCGGTTGATCCGGCTGGGCTTCTTGCTGCTTCTGCGCTTGGCCGTCTTGAGCCCGTAGCCGCCGGCATCCAGGTGGTAGGGCTTCCCCTCCGACCCAGAACTCTCGCTGCCGTTCTCCTCGTCCTCCTCCGACAGCATGCTGATCTCGGGGTACAGGTATCGGCTGGGGGGCGAGCGCAGCATGGCGAAGGACATGGCTGGGGGGGGCAAGTGGAACTGGGGGCGTCGTTTTGTGTCAGGACCCCTCAGCTCTGCGCTTTCATCCTCGGAGGGGGGGGAGCTCTTGCGGTGGAGGGTCGGCTAGCTCCTGGTCTCTCCTCCTCCTCCTCCTCCTTCTCCCATGAGGCTGTCCCTCCCGTCTCCACCACCACGTGCTTGTCCTGGCCGGAGTGGCCCTCTGGCTCTGCGTCCTGGTCGGCTCTCTCGAGGCTCAGAAGGGGTTAAGCTCTGTGGCCGCACGGCAGGCCACTGGTGGTGCTGCCTCCTGGCACACGTGTGCTGTGCTGTGCTGTGCGTGCGGCACCTCTTTCTGAAGGCTCCGTTTGGAGTGTGTCGGGGGCTGAGCGAGCGTTTTATAGTGGTGCTCGCCAGTGGCCGGTCAGGCAAGCCCCTCCTCCGCTCGCTCGCAGCAGCCGCCCGCCTCCCCGCGCCTGCCTTTGCCTTGGGGGCTCCCGAGGAGAGGCGAGGCCGGCCGTGGAGAGACTGCGTAGTGCCCTGGGGGTCCGGGCTGTCGGCCTGCCTGGCTGGCAGGCAGCCGGACAGGAGGCCGGGGCTGCCGGGGTCGGCCTCGAGCAGCCTGCTGTTCTTAGCAGGGCTTCAGGGCTTTGCCCTCTCTCGGCTTTCTGCCTTCGGCCCACCACGGTGTTTGCTGCACAGAGGGGCGGCAGGCTCCCTTACCTTGGGGGCAGAGGAAGAAGATGGGAAGTGGGGGGTGGGAGAGGCCAGGGAGGAAGGCACCTGTGGTGGGGGGGGG